TAAGGACCACCCTAGTATTCACACATAAATAATTCTTTGACTAAGTACTAGTTTCACTAGAATTTTGATTATTTATGGCTTTACATTATTTTCTATGCTTGATTTTCATTTGAAAATCAAAACGAATAGTTTATCTTCTAAATAAAAGGAGAAACTGACTGACTGACTATGATCTATCAACGCACAGCCTAAACGGCTAAACGTAGGCACTTTAAATTTTTAAGGGACGTAGTTTAGGTACCGTAGAGGTGCACTAAGAAAGGAATTCCCGAAATTCCCACGGGAATGGGAATTAGCGGGAAAATCCTTTTGTATGAAAAAGCTAAACCGCTTAAGTTAGACGCTTGAAATTTGGCATGCAGGTACTTTAGTAAACTTAAAGCTTAGTTACAACAGGATATTGCAAAATTCCCACGGGAACGGGAATTAGCGGGAAAAAACATTTGTATGAAAAAATCTAAACCGCGTAAGATAGATTAAGGGGGTAAAACGGGATCCACGCGTACAAAGTCGCGGGCACAGCTAGTTCAGTATAAATAGGCCCTTTCCAGAGCTCCAAATACAGCTTTAATCCGGCACTGCGCGTGATGCCCTCTAACGAAAAAAGTCATCAGATAAAATGGGCATTAATTAAACCTATTTATTCACATTTAATTGCAGTCCGCGAGATAAAAACACGTAGAGACAATGAGAAGTTTTTTCTAGAACAACTGATTGCGGTACATTGAGTTCTTTATCAATATTTGAGTGCAAACGGGTTAATAGTTAATTATTATTTTACTTTATCTTCTCAGGTAGTTCCGGCAGAGTGGAATATGACCCATACTTTCAATATAAGGTGATTTGTTTTAAAAAATTGAGAGCGTCGTGCTTCTGTAGTAGAAGAGCCTATGACCGCAAATAATTAAATTTGCAGACCAAAGTCACGATAATACCTGACGATGATGGTGATGATGATATAAATATACGCCATAATCTATGATTAATATTATAAAGCTGAAGAGTTTGTCTGTTTTCTTGAACGCGCTAATCTCAGCAAATACTGGTCCGATTTTTTTTTGTGTTGGATATCCCATTTATCGAGGAAGGTTTTAGCCTATAAACTATAAGTGATCTCACTTGATTATTTAACTATACAAGATATCCAAAAACTGGTTACTGATTCTGAAAGTGCTTCACGAGCTCTATCCAACGTGGTACCGTAAAATTCCGGATAGATCCTGTTCATTTTGTAATAAATAGGTTACAAAATAAACAGGATCTATTCGAAAATTCAATGTTTCCAGTTTCCATAGTTAAAAAAAAATGTTGCAAGAAGGGGAAATATTATTCAAACTACATATTTTCATAAGACGAAGTCGCGGAAACATCTAGTTTATAGTTTATACAATAAACATTATCTGCGAGTTATTACTATTTTATTAATTTAAACTTGACAATGCCCTTAACTATCTAAGTTGAACGCCCTCTGCTGACCTTTAAATGCACTAGAAATACGAGGAACAAGAACATTGTGATAAATTGACCTTAGACGAGCGATTCCAATGCTCTTTGGACCTTCAGACGTTGGAGCGTGTCGGGACATGTTGATAGAAAGTGATTTGTGAGTCAGTAAGTTCAGAAATAATTAGATAAGATTGGCAAGTTGAGTACCTAGAGACGAAAGTCAGTGTGTTACCAGTGATGACATACGGCTCAGAAACGTGGCCTCTCACTATAGGCCTTATAATAATATCGGTGTTTCCTTACGTGATTGTATCAGAAATGAGGGGATCCGTAAACGAACTAAAGTCGCTTACATAGCACGACGGATTAGCAAGCTGAAGTGGCAATGGGCAGGGCACATAGTCCGCAGAACTGACGGCCGATGGGGCAGCACGGTTCTGAAGTGTAAGTCGTAAGTAGGACGTCCACCCACAAGGTGGACCGACGAATTCTTAAAGGTAGCAGAAAGGCACTGGAGCACTGGAGGCAGGCGGTATGCCAAAGGCCATAATTATTATTACCGCAGAATACCTAACAGAATTTTCAAGGACTCGGCTAATGTATTTGACAATGTAAAACAGAGCCTTTTTTTACAACAAAACGGAAAGTATTCTATTTAAAAGTAACCACAAAACCGTTGAAATAAAGACGCTGAACGTGATCTTTTCGTCAAGGTCGTTAGAACGGGAGCACCTCAAGGTTGTGTTTTAGCCCACATTTTTTATCTACTAGCAAACATGGTGTCAGGTATACAAGATATTCTTAAAAATCCAATAGACCTTAATGAAGATTGAATAATGACATTGAAGATTAAAAAAAGTATTTAATGTCAATGCTATGTAATTTCCTGAAGGTGGTAGGTTAAGCTATAGAACGCATCTAAGTGCTCTGAAACCCTAACACACCACATAAATAAAAGAATTAAAGAAAGACAGCTTCGAGAGTGCAGACCAGACTAATACCCGTTTTCACCATCAATGCCTAATTTTTAAGTGACCGCTATCAAAACAAAATTCCTGTTATGTATGTTACCATATGGGTCACTTAAAAATTAGGGATTGATGTTGAAAACGGGCATAAATGACCTGATGATGTCGATGAAAATTTACTAATAACAAAGTCTTATGCTATGCTGTCGCCAGATGCAATGCTGTCTTCATCATATCATAATGCAGGTCTATGTAATTATTAGTGTGATTGTTAACTGGACGTAATTATTGTGATTGTAAGGACAATTTATTACATTGTTTGTTACACAATAATGTAATGTGAAATGTTATTGTAGCATAGATTTACAACTCAATTAAATGGGAATACGAGTGTAGGTACCGACTCCAGAGGCTCATAAGGTAATATGCTTCTGTTAGAAGTGAGTTCACTACAATAATTAATCCTTTAAGCTCCGCGAATCTAGAAACAATAGATAATCAATTGTTATGACATTAATTAATGCCGTCTGGGACTCAATCGGTTAAGCGATCGAAGGGATCGAATTAGCGACGAGCGAATTGACAGCCCGACTCCGATATAGATCGTTTCAACCATGAAGACGCGCCCCACCATTCTTCCGCTAATGTTTGAGTGTTATCGGTACACGCTAAATTATCCATGAGTGCACGCACACGAACAATACAATAATGCCTTACGGATTGCTCGGATAAAACTCTCCGCACTCCGCGCTTCCCTCGACCAAAAATGGTCCATTCCACTTTGATCACCTGGCTTTGATGACCCAGGTGATGAAAGTCCACTTCCAGCTGACCAAAAACTGGTAGGGCGCGTCTTCGTGGATGAAACGATCTATACCGTATACCGTCGAGTTATTATAGCCTTAAATTAGGGAAAGCAGTAGTTTGAGATGTAATTCTTAATGCTATTAAATAAAGATTTCCACATTGTCAAGATTAAATCGTTTTGTATTAAGAGATTTATGTTTACTCAAATTACTAGTGCCACAGAAAATTCAATGTCAATGTTAGTCAGCCTTACGGTTTGCGAGTTTGCCAAAGTCAGGTGTCAGTAACACCTTTACATTGTGGAACTAGTATTCTCCTAAAGGTCACTAGCTATATTTAGTTCCTTTTGACTGTAACTTATAAATATGTATAATTAGAATAAGACCTCATGTGCGCAATTTGAATATTAATGAGTTTAGTCACATAGAGGATTCGCGGAAATTATTGACTCGTGATTGGAATTTGAAATTCATATCAAATCGCGGAAATTATTGACTTGTGATTGGAATATGAAATTCATATCAAACTAGCTGACCCGGCGAACTTTGTTCCGCCTTAGTGGCAATAAATAAGCAGACTTTTTTTTTTATTTCGAACGGGATAAAAAGTATCCTATGTCCTTCTCCTGGCTCTAAACTACCTCCCTGACAATTTTCAGCTAAATCGGTTCAGCCGTTCTTGAGTTATAAGTGGAGTAACTAACACGACTTTCTTTTATATAGAAGATATTGATTCAAAAACAAACATGGCTTTCCTTCGGGAATCGGATATTGACGCCCGTATTCACAAACGATGCTTGCTCAAGTGAAGCAGCAAATCGAACGCACAGCGTTGAATAGAGCTCCATGATTGGTTCGTGTTAATCAGTATGAACATGAATGGAAATGCGCACATTATCGGCTGATTCCTCTTACAAATTTGAAGCCGACCAAACTATATGCAGGGTACACATCTAGCCGTGTAGCATGTAATGTATCAGATACTGTATCAAGTAAGTACATAGGCTCGCGCGTGGTTCGCAGGGAGATCGCAGCGACCCGCCGAGTGGCGGTATCGCTGCGAGCACAAAGGCGGCTCGCAGTAGGATTCAGGAGCTCGCAGCCAGATACGCGATGACCGTGGACGAGCCGTACTCACTTGAAGGTTGGTTACGTTACATGCGTTACGTGCTACATGGCAGGTAAGTACCCTGCTATAGGCCGACTAAAGTTTTTTGACTGCGGAGCGTCTAAGATAGGCCCAGTGCTGAGAAGAAATGAAGCGGCGCAAGAAACCCAGTCACTGTTGATAACTTTTTACAAGATGTTACAAAGTCAGGCAGTTTTTTTTTTAATTAATTTTTGCAAATAGGCTTTTAAAAAGCACCTTTACGCGTCCCAGTATTAACCCTACTACTGCTTCGGGACAATAAATGGGCCAGTGCTGAGAAGAAGCAGCGCAAGAAACTCAGTCACTATTGTTACTAGTTAAAAATCCACCCATATTAGTCTAAATGATGATGAGATTGCTAATGAAATTGCCGTAGTTTAAGAAGTCTTCAAAAAGAACAAGAAATATACCAAACTCTCTCAGGGAATCTTGATTTAAACAATAATACATACAATTTAAATGACTCCTTCAAGGATTCAAAATAAGGGCTTAGAATTTGAAATTCAAAGGACCACACACCGACCATCAATATTTTAAAACACTCCGTTCAAAATAGATTCAACAATAATTTAATAGCAGCCGATACAACCACAACACTAAACCTTAAACCTGACTCTCTCAATTTATTACCTAGTTCATCCACAGCCACAGTCTTTGGTTCAGTCATGATTGTTAATTACAAATCACTAATTAACCACGCACGACACTAACACAATCCAACTGCGTAAATAAAAACGTGTATTGTTTTTGTTTTCACTTTCGATAACGGAACACGCCCGCGCGTCCGAGCGCGCTTAGCGTCGATGCAAGACTGAATTTAAATTTAGAATCATCGTAAACAAAGCGTGCGTGGGCGCAGACGGTTGGCGTGTTCGCACCTGTTTAAACAAAACCGTTCTTATCTTAATGGAAGTGAGTTGAATTTTGATTGTTTAACAGATAGGTTGTACATAAATGTGGTGTGATTAGGATTGGAAAATGGGCATCGGAATTTTGTCTGTAGATCACCTTATTAGGAGTAGAAATTGCCTAATATGAAAACTGAGGAGTGGTTGATTTCTCTGATTAAATAAGAGATGGAAACAACACAGATATGATTAAATTGATATAAAAGCTGATGGAGTTGTAGATCTACCTAACTTTACAAACAAAGGATTAGGCAAATATTTAGGCACGACGTAAAACTCATTTTATTTTTTGCAAGTAGGCTTTTAAAAAAGCACTTTTACACGTCCCAGTATTAACCCTACCACTGCTTCGAGACAATAAATGGGCCAGTGCTGAGAAGAAGCAGCGCACGCAAGAAACTGAGCAACACTCACAGACCCTCTAAAATCTAACATATTTTCAAATCAATATGTGATTGGTTGAAATTGCTAATCTAGCTCTTCAGCTAGGTGAAATGAAGACTTGTGACAGGTAACTGACAGAAGCTGGATACAAGCTGGCGCGCGCAAGGACAAAATGGCGCGTACAAGACAAGGATTATATTATCCAGAGACTGCTTCGGGACTATTCCCACCTCTCGTTCCCACCGCTGCAACTCCTGTGTGGACGTGTGTGCTACAGCTTAACCGCCATAAAAACCCAACCAATGAAGGTCAAGTTTGTCCAGAGATTGCCATTGGGCGATGATGATGATGTTGATGATGATTAAAAATTTATACCAACGCTTGAATCTCATGAGTTTAACGAGTTTTGATCTACTAGACCAATCACATTCACTAATATTATAAAGAGGAAAGATTTGATTGTTTGTTTGTATTGAAAAGGCTCCGAAACTAATGGACCGGTTTGAAAAATTCTTTCACTATTAGAATCCTGCATTATTTCTGAAGAAAATAGGGCGCACCCTTAATAATGAATGGGCACAACTCCAAAATGCAGTTTTTTGGGAAAAGCCAAAAAACCAATCGGCGGATCGCGGTTTTTTACATAATTGGCTCTAAAATCTTTATTTTATCAGCTACAACTTTCAAATTAAGCATACTTCATCACTGGTATCTGTTATATAATTTGACATGAGACATTTTTAATNGCGCAATAAAAAAATAGCGCAATATTTTGTTGCAATTTCTTACAAAACTTGCGCGCAAAAAGCAAATCTAGTATGAAAATGATTAAACTTCTAATGCTCGTAACTCAGTTCAGACTGAGTTTAGAGGTATACATGCCATAGTAAGTTTGGTTTATTACACTATTTTGTAATCAAAAAACAAAGTTTGGTCGATGGCCGCGCGAAAAAAAAAAGACGCCACCTTCCATACAAAATCTGGCATTGCCATTTATTATATTAATTTAATTAAAAGTTTAAATACTTACCTATGTATTGATAGATGATTCTTGTCACGACCCATAGGCAGATTATTTTCCATCTATAAAATGCCTTTATCGTACCAAATAACCTACATAGATTTTTTATGACATTCTACTAAAAAGTGTTGTAAAAACTCCAACTGTCAATGTGCTATAAAAAACGCGTAAACTTCGACTTTTCTTTCATCCCTAATAGCCTTTCACAACAATGGAAATATGGATGGCCTCCATTGGCGCCATTAGACTTATACAGCTCTACAATCAAAGTAGAATAGGCCATTCTACTCCTCGGAACAGATTTCAGCCATTCAGGACTTCTAGAAAACATTATCCGATAATGACTGGCCTGTTACAATTGAATTCTTTGACGTCGATAGATTTCTAAGAGTTTGCAAACTAATTTAAATTCTGATGTAGCAGCGAGGTGATGAGATACCATAAGTAATCTCACATTTGTAGGGCTGTCTAATACTAAACTAACTTTACAACACAAACTATTTATTACTTACACTAAGTTAGAGAAAATCCTCTGAAATATTTTCAAATAAACTTGAGGTATAAAAATAAAATTGCGATGATTGATCGAAATCATNGCACAAGCAAAATTAATGATTAAACGAACTTACCTGTATGTGAAGTTCTATCATAATTATGCGAAGTGCATCGTCCGAATAGATTCTGAAAATTAACTGTTTATTATTAGGTATTACAATATGTAGTTACACGTAAGTGACACCACTCAAGCACTGAATAGTTTAGAGAATTATAATAAAAGTAAATTTCGTCGTATGGTATCATTTTCTCCTACTGGTCACCCCGTATTCACAGGTACGTCATTAAGTTTAGAGGTAAGGATGTTTGTTGGCATTTCGTGGCGTATTACTGGGTGTTAGGGTGGGAGGGTTGTAATCTATTCGGACGATGCACTTCGCATAATTATGATAGAACTTCACATACAGGTAAGTTCGTTTAATCATTAATTATGCCTGTGCATCGTCCGAATAGATTCTGAAAATTAACTGTTTATTATTAGGTATTACAATATGTAGACTTTTAGAGCAGCCTAAGAAATGCCAATAAATACGAGATGTAGCTTAAAGAAAAGTTTTATTATTATGATGTTTACATAATCAGGACATTTATGAATAAGTATTATTATGATCATAATTATTCATGTAAATAATTATATTTAACAGTCAACTATAGCGTAAATAGTCAATACTATCTACGATAGGTAACATTGAATGATTATTTTTGTAGAGACAAAATAATTAACAAAAAACAAAACATAAAGAAACTGTGAAATGGTAGATCAGGCATATCTTAGGCCTATCAATACAATTTAAGTTAGCAGTCGTCATTTAGTACTGCAGTAGCTAGTGATGTTTCGTTACTATTATCATTAATCATCCGATTATAAAATCTACCAAAGACCGTAGAACTACCGCTCCAGCCGGCGGTTTTACGGATTGAATCAACAGACACCCCACATTTATAGGCTTTGGAAGTAGCCGCATGGCGCGTACTATGAGCAGTGAAGATGGAGGTATCAATCCCACTGTCTTTAAGGGTACTTTTGATCCAGCGGCTCAAAGATTGGGAAGTTACAGCATTATGTGGTTTTTTATGGCTAATGAAAAGGTTTGTATTTTTACGGATAGTTTTAGTCATTTCCAGGTAAGAAAGCAAGGTTTTCGAGGGGCATATTTCCGGTTTTTCGGTAAAGAATGGTAAAATAAGTAAAGGCTGTGTGGCACCGATTCTGGATGTTTTGATGAGATCAGGTATTTTAATTCTGATTTGGGATGGTAAGATTTCAATGTTGTTAATCTGTATCTTCGAGAGTGTTTGAACGCGATTGGCAGTTGCTAAAGCAAGTAACGTAATACATTTCTTTGCAAGAACTTCGAGTGTCAAATCATTATTTGGGTATTGATTGGATAAATAGTTTAAGACTAAAGAAGTATCCCACGTGATGTTATATTTAGGATGGGGGGGACGAAGACGATATACCCCTTTAAAAAACCTTGAAATCCTATCATCCTTTGACATATAAGGGCCTAATATGAGGGTTAACGCGGATCTGTACGAATTAAGAGTGCCATATTGACTTCCATTGCTATATGATTCGCTTAGAAAATGCAAGACAGTGGGAATGGATGCTTCATACATATGTACATTATACTGTTTACAATAAGAGAACCATTTTCTGAGTGCTACGTCGTATTGTTTGAACGAATTGTTTGCGAGAGATGCCATCATGATGTCGACTGCGGATGGTGGGATTCTGCGTCGCAGTAATGCTGCCCGCACAATACTCCGGCAACCAGGGTAAGATTCCCATGAATATTCGGGTTGCTGTAATGAGATGCAATAACGCTTTCGTTAGGTCTGAAGATTGTCATGTCCGAGATAAGAAGTCTTGTAAATATTGGGTACCATGGTTGTGTCGGCCACCTAGGCACAACCACGATACCTCTGCCTTTATCGGAGATAATTTTTCTTAAAGTTTTCAATATGATCGCGAAAGGAGGGAAGGCATAAAAGAAAACATTTGACCATGGTATGGTGAACGCATTGATTGCGAAGGCGTCCGGATCTCGATGCCATGATACATATGTTTTGCATTTGGTATTGATACGAGTGGCAAAAAGGTCTATTTTTGGTTGACCGTATTTTTTAATTATATTTTGGAATGCGGTGTCTTGTAATTCCCACTCTGTATCTGGGTGTAACCGACGAGATTCTGTATCTGCTATTGTGTTATCAGCCGATTTTATATATGAAGCATAAATAAACAGCTTTCGATCTTCACACCACTGCCAAATATCTTTCGTTATTTTTGTAAGGTGTGGGAACTGAATCCCACCCATACGGTTAATATATGAGATAGCTGTGGAGTTGTCTATACGCAAAAGAATTTGGCAGTGGCTCAGCTGTTTGGCGAATGTTTTGAGACCGAGAAAGGCTGCAAGCAATTCTAAATAATTAATATGCTTTTCGCGCTCCTCTCGCGACCACATCCCGCTGGCTGTCTCATTCCTACAAGCGGCGCCCCATCCAGTGTTGGAGGCATCGGTAAAGATTTCTAAATGATAGTCGTCGGTACGAATGATCCGAACGGAACTTTCAATTGCTTGTGACCACCATTCGAAATCGGCTTGTAATGAGTCAGGTAAGTACATGAGTCTGTCATAGTCATCATGGTCTTTTAGATTTAAAAACTTACAGCGTTCAAACTCTTTTGTATAAAGTATACCGTACTCAATGGCTGGGCAGGCTGAGATCAGAAGTCCGACAAGTTGTGAAAATTTCCTGATACTACATCTTTTGAGTTTCATGATTTTAGTAAGTTCATGTTTAATATGAATTCGCTTTTCATTTGGTAAAATGACGTGAAATTTTTCAGAATCGATAATCAAACCAAGAAATTTGCACGACTTCGAGGGTAACAAATTACTTTTTTCCTTGTTAATTATGAAACCTAGATTTTCTAAGAGCTTTGTAGTGACAGCG